CTATTGCCATGACAGCACCATCTGAAAGAAAGATCTGACTTACTCTTCATGGTGCCACAGCATAAGCGATTATGTGAAATTCTGATTAATGCAAGAAAATTTGCAATAAAAAATTTTACTGAAACTATTAAATATCGCATAATATTTAAAATAACGAAATTAAATTGCAATGAAAATGAATAATAATTGTCGCTTAAAACCATTTTCACGGAGAACAATAGCCACAAGTTAATCTGCATTTAGTTCTCATCGCACTTGCATAGGGTTCTATGGTGCATAGAGACGTATAATCTGAGCATTTTCGTTCGTCTCGACAAGTTGGTCGCTCAATTGTTCTATTTTGATTTGCTGAAATGCATAAATCACCACAAACAAGTGGTTTAAGTTTTACGTGTTTTACGTGATGAAATAATCATGTATTTAAATGAATAGTACGAGACTCATTTGCTCGTTGAAAGGTAGGGAATGTCGGGTCGCAACATGGAGATTTTGCACCAAACTTAAGAATCATTAGATTACGAAAGCTCTAAGGTATTCGAGCTACTCAACCTGCTTTTTTCAAGCTATAGTTTATCGACTATTAGCAAAAATTTAAAAGTGATAACCTAAGCAAGAATTCAGTCCGCATGTTTTTTGACAAGAATTCTTCGCCTTGTCATCGGTGCAAATTACGGCTGCCAACGCGTTGCATACATCATCGCCAAGTGTGTTTGGACACATACCATTTGCTCCTGGTTGGTCGCAAAGACCGCATTTCTGCGGGCATCGCTTTAGTGATATATCAGTAAGCGATGGATTTCTACACAAATCCAGTGTAAAAGCTTCACAGTGCTCCCTTCCCTCTGCAATCCAATGGATAAACGACAAATTTCTTTCACCAATCAGTATAGAAATAACAATGAGTAGTCATCCATAAACATCACATCATTTTAGGCATATACTTACCATTAATACAGTTGTATTGTTTTGTCAAACAACAAAATGCACAACGACTTGGACAGGTCTTTTCTGCAAGAGTTTTCAAAGCAGGCTCTGTACATCTTACGGGTATCATATAATCTACGTTCCTGAATTACTCTTTATATTCATATTTTTCCATATTAAAAGATATAGCATCTGAGACTGGGATCTGAGATCCAAAGAAAATTTAATACTTACGGGTTTGAATGAGATTGGATTGTTGCAGCAATACCGTCTGCATCAACAGGTCTTCCCTTTATATCAAATATTGCATCGCAGGCAGGTGTATCCATACGTGCACAAAGTTGTGGATCGACAGTCGGTCGCTGACGAACGTCTCTTCCCACTGTAACCTGTTTATTACAGTGAGGAATTGGCACATCTTCACCTCCTTTCGCACCACGAACGAGGCTAATAATCGATAAGAAATGGAAGAGCATTTCGAAAAAAAAGATTTTCGAATGAGATTTTAGCGCATTACCAATGCTTTTATGCCATTTCACTCTTTTTGTTGGAAGATTTGTGGTTAGATTTACCTTCACGAAATCTATTATTTCGGCAGTTATTATTTGCTCATCAGCGATACCATTCATAATTCGTACTTCGAATTTATTTTATTTCTCGCTTATCAATTTTTTTCAAATTTTTGTATTTTCTTTATTTACAATTTTAAAACGATTCTGAATGATGCATTACGGTATCAATTCGAAAAAAAAAATCTGGCATCTGCGGCTTATCAAAATATCTTTTCTGCTTCCCAGCAATTACTGCTATAACTGTCCATCTTGTGGGCAAAATCTCATGAGGACAAATCTATGCGATCATTTCAAATATTTCATAATCGTATTAATTCGGTTCTCGAGTGGATGCTCCTAGTGTTCAACACCATTCATCTCAAAGAGCTTGGTTTTAGCATAAATAATTTCTATATATAAAACCGCCTCATACAAGCCAAAAATTTTCATTTTCCAGAAATTCAATTTTCATTCTCGAAGTTCGAGCTACTCTGTGGATAAAAATTTCAAACGACTTCTTTCCTTAAAAACGCTTGAATTATATTTTTTTCAAGGAAAATAAACTTTATTCAAATTTTTAAAAAAACATTGAAAATAAACATAATTTTTAAATTCAGATTATCAGCAATAAAAATTTAATCTTTTATATTATTAGATATACAGCAGTACAAAAAAAAATGGAAGTTTAAGGATTAGAAAATGCTTTTTGAATTATCTGAAATTTTTGGAATTATATTTAGCTTTACAAACAAAGATCCAATAATTTATTTTTTTAACCGTGCTTCGACAAATATTAAATTAATCGGGGCGATAATGTCAGCATGCAACAAAATTTCAAATTATTTTATTAAAACCATTAAATTTCCCATTTTAAGGAAAATAACTTAAATTTTAGTGAAAAAAGATTCGCTTGAAACCATTTTTACAATGGCAACCAAGTTAATCGGCATTTAGTTCTCATCTCACTTGCAAAAGGTTCTATTCTGCATACGGATTTATAATCAGAACACCTTTGTTCGTCTCGGCAAGTTGGTCGTACTGCTGTTCCATTCTGACTTGCTTGAATGTATAGGTCATAGCAGCAAGCAGTAAACAAGACTAATTCAGTTACGATGAAGTATACCCTATCAAAAAATTAGAATACCCATAGTTGCTCCTTGGTATCGGCACTCTGCCATTGAAAAAAGGATAGGATATTCAGGTGATCCGCGACAATCGAGATATTTGCTAGGTTTTTTGCCAAATGCAAGAATCATTGGATTATGAAAGGTTTAAAACATTCAAATTATCTAAATTAATTTTTCGTTCTTCGATCTCGATTAATAGCATAAATTTAAAAAATATAGGCTAAGCTAAGAAGGTATTCGTCTGCACGCTTTTTGACAAGAGTTCTTCGCTTTGTCATCAGTGCAAATTACGGCAGCCAACGCGTTGCATACAATCACCAAGTGTGTTTGGACATACACCATTTGCTCCTAGTTGGTCAAAAAGACCGCATTTCTGCGGGGCATCGCTTCAATGATATATCAATAGACGATGGATTTCTGCACTACCCGATGACGTAAAACGCAAAAGCTTCACATTGCTCCCTTCCCTCTACAATGAATAAGAAAAAAAAAGCCACTTTAATGGCGCAGAACTAACAAAATTCGTCTAAAAGTATTACATTGATTTACTTTGTTTACTTACCACAAATTGCTTTACTTATCATTAACACAGTTATACTGTTTTGTCATGCAGCAAAATGCGTAACGACTTGGACAGGTCTTTTGAGCAGAATTTTTCAATGCAGATTCTGTACATCTTGCGGGTATTAGATAATCTGCCTGAAATATTCCTTGATATATTCTTTAGATCTTTCAGTGTTTCAGTGCATTTTTATTGTTCAAGGGTGTAGCATCTTAAAATCCGCGATTTAAAGGAAAGAAATTCTTACAGGTTTGAGTGAAATTGGATTGTTGCAGAGTTATCACTTTTTACGCGATGGATGAGACAAACAATCTAATAAAAACTGAACAGCGTTTTAGAAAAATAGATTTTAGATTGCGATATTAGAGCATCGCTTATGCTTGATATTAGAGCATCGCTTATGCTTTTATGCCCTTTTTAGAAGATATGTGGGTTGATTACTTTTATGACATCTGCTTGCCAGTTATCATTTCTGCCAATTAATTATACTCAGAATTCATTGTACTGTGCACAGTTCGTTATTAACAAATAATTATAATAATAATTATAATTTTCTTTATCGTTTTCAATCGCTAAATGAAGCGTTAAAATACTAATTCGTCCAGAAATCTGGTTTCCGGTTTCTCTGGATGATTATCATATTGTCATATTATCTAAAACTAATACTATTATCGCGTACAGTGTCAACATCGTATCACAGAGATCGAAATCTATCATTTAATCTTATCAACTCAGTTCTTAACTGTGTTCTTCGCCAATCATCAAAAAGTTTGATCTTTAACTTTATATAAAGAAACACCTCGTATAAACCGAAAATTATTTTAAATTGAAGAATATTTTCCTGATAATGTCATAAATTCATTTCAATTTATATTAAGATTTAAACCCGACCTGCATTGCAAATTGTGAGAAAAGCAAATTTTTAAACGAAATTTCAAATAAACTTTTTTAGAGTTATTTTTTTACTTTTATTTTTACTTTTTATTTTACTTTCTTTTTCCTTAACTTTTTAATTTTTTTAGGATTTTTTACAAAATTATAAAATTAAAAGATTCTTTCAAAATTATTGCAAAATTGCTTTCTTTTCTTCTGAGAGCAATTACCATTATTGGTTGGACTTGCTCTTCTCCTACAATATTCAACTATGCGACAGGCTGGATAATGGACACCGCATGCTGAAGAAATGCAAAAATCAGTTCGGAGCGTTGTATCTTGAATACGCTGATGATTAGTCCTTTTTATGCTGACAGTTATGACGAAATGCAAACAACATGTCAACAACCGCAGCGACAATTGGACTCAGGTCAATATGAATAAAACGAAAGTCGTTTCATCTTATGTGCAAGAAGCTGATAAAATGCTTCTTTTTGTAAATTCATTGCCGATCGAGGAAATGCTCGATTTTAAATACCTTGTGTCTACTCTAATACCAAATGGCCAGGCAAAAGACGATATTACCGGATCACAATGGGTTCTTCTGGTCTTTCGGTTAAAATAAAATCACCCTAAAAACGAAAGTAGCCATGATTCGTTCGATCTTCCTATATGGCTCTGAGATATGGCCAATGAGAATGGAGGGTAATGGAGAGAAGTTATCGGCCTATGACCACACATGTTGCAGATACATTTTAGGGGTCCATTGAATGGATAGAATTTCACATAATCGCATCGTTCGAATACCACTTGCTAAACCTTATGATGGGTGGTGTCAAAAGCGAAGTGGGCCAAACAAGACTTGGGCTGATACGGTCAGGAAAAGACGCATAGGTGGACCAGCTATATATGGACTATGTCGATGGAAAAAAATGGCTTCTATTACTGCCGAGGACATCAGATCGCGCAACTTGTTGACTTGTCGAAACCTCTTATTTTTGTAGTCAAAGGAACCAGCCTAATTTAAAAATTCTTTTCTAATTTTTTTTTGAGAGCAATCACCATTGCTGGCTCCTCTGGCTTGCTATATTCAACAAATAAATAAATTAGAGAGCGATAGAAACACAGGTGAGTCACCAGAATCACTCGGGTTCATGGACAGGTCTGCATTTACCTCAGCATCTGAATTGAACAACAGCCCATTGAGCTTTTACTTTCTTCTCCGTTAGGCGACACTGCTGTGTGACAAGAAATAACGAAGAGCTAACTCTAACCTTGATTCTCGGCGAATCTTGCCACTGGGCCTTACACACATTTTTCCTAAATACCATTAAATAAGTTGAATTTTTGCCAAATTTTTATTTATGAAAAATTTTTAGAGAGAAATTTTTCTAAAACTTTTTTAATGAAATAGCCAAAAAAAGATTAGCAAATGCCTTTGAATATTTGAATTATTTGATTTTTTTGAATCTATCTTTAGCTATACAAATAAAGATTCATCAGTCAATTTTTTCCAAAATTGTAATTCGATGGAAAATATCGGATATAATAAATCGGACTGAAATGATTGGAAATGAGTGAAAGTTCGCCTTTTTCTTTCTCATTTTCCTGGCAGCATATCTGCTTCAAATGTTTTTGCATGGAAAGTTATAGCTGCAGGTTAATCAGTTAATCGTTAATCAGTTCTCATGATTGCATTCTCCTGATAAATACATCTTTGTTCGTCTTAGCAAGCGGTCACTACATTTTAATTTTCTGAAACAGAAAGGTCACGAAGTTCACTTGCGTTGAATTGTGCAAGTAATCAAGCCTTAGTAAATAGTAGATCTGTTCCTTGATATCATCGTTTTGGTACTGAAAAAAAGGTAAAAATTTTGATATATATTTCGCGATCATGGAGATTATATTCTGCGCTAAATGCAAAAATCAGCTGATTCTGCAAAACTTTGATAATCAAATCATCTATTGAAGTATTTTCTAAGAATCATAAATTATCACTCAATAGCATCGACTTTTTTAGAAGGCCAGCATTTAATCTCCACGTTTTTTTGCAATAGTTTTTCGTCTTACCATCGCCATAAATTACGCTTTGCATATTATATCGCCAACTGCATTTGTGCACATACCACTTGCTTCCTTTCGATTAAAAAATCAGTATTTTTCCGGGCACATATCTCCTTAATGCCATAGCAATAAGCGATGGATTTCTGCACATTTCCAGTGTAAAAACTTCACAACGCTCGCCTCCCTTTATAATGTAGAAAGGAAAAAACTTTTTCATCGCATAGAAGTAATCATCCATGAACATTATATTTTAAACTTTAAAGCATTTATTTGCCACTAAATTGTTTCATTATACAAAG